AAATTGAATCACGTTCGGGCTAAATTAGCTCCTTAATGTTATAAATACCATTGCCGAATTACAACAAAATTAGGTAAAGGATATTTAAGATATTTACGAATACATTTTTTTTGAACACCCTGTATCTCGAGAACGAAGGATTTGGGAACCCATGTTTATATGAACATCTCGTCTTAAAATTACCTAATTCTGTTAAATTATGGTACATATTTAATTAACACCCTGTATACTTGGGTATATATTCTTAGATGATTGATTATTCATTAGATTGGAATTTCAGTACGTATAGTATTTAGTATGTTCTGAACAAAAATATTGATTTTGTACAATTTAGCAAAAATTCAATTAGGCCCTTCAAAACAGATGCCAATTATAGTTTCAATGAAGTAGTGAGTAGAGCTCATTTCAGATATAGAAGTACCATTGATAGATGACTGTATTAATATTAGCTCATTAACAACTTTCCATTCAATCTTATGATTTTATTAATTGATAATAAGCGTGTCCTTATCTGCTTTTATGTTTTTCTTTGTGTCTTATTTTTAATGAATTTACACAGCTAATTTACAGGTCTGGAATTAGCCACGCCCGTGTTGGAACAGCAAAATCCATTTGCCCAGGTAAAGCCCCACCCACATTTACTAACAATGAGCATGTCCTGGCTTTTGGCTGGTGCTTTGCCTCCTATCTATTCACGACCTCAGAGAGGACATTCTCCAAGCAACAGTGGTGTTGGTGAGTAACTTTCATGAATTTTCAAAATGCAAATAAAAACAATTATGTGCATACAGCTTTCACTCCATAACTCTACTGGTTTGTAAGGATTGATTTGTTTTATTCGTGGTCTTGTTAGGGGATTATTAATTTCTTTTTTTTCAGGGTAAATCAGATACTATTTTTTAATAACTGTTAAACAATTAATAACTGTCAAACTCATGGTTGTCAATGAAATGAAAATATGACTGACTTTTTCTAAGTGTTTTATTTAGATAAATATATCATCAATAGTGACAGGAACAAGATATCTAAACCTTTTATGGTGATGAACTAGCGCTGGGAATATCCTTCAAAATTTGTTTCGACGTTCTTTTGTTTTTTCACCTTCCTTCCTTCCTATTCTATTTATCAGTAACTTGTCAGATTTGATAATTTTGCCCATCAGAAAAAGAGCTAAGAAATTATACAGGTTATTTCTTATCTCAACGTTTCTGAGGCTAAAATCTAATGAATCTTGCAATTTTTTCTGGTACGTTTTATTTTCAAAACATTCTCAAAAGAGATCAAAGGAGTTTTGAAATATGTCAGTATTGTTGATTGACATATGACACATTCGATATAGTAAAAGGTGTTCTCTGATATTTTGGTACTGTTTGAAATAAACTTCTCTTCAGATATAAGAATATGTTCATTTATTTATTTATTTCATTACGGCACTGCCTATTTTTACAAAATAATTAACAAAATCACACATATGTACTACTATCAGCTAGATGTAAGGAAAAAAAATGAAAGCAAAAATGAGGCAATCAATTACAATCTGTTTACTGTCTTTTTAACTAATTCCAAAGAAGAATTAAAAAGTTCTAAATCCACATTGTAAGTATCTGAAAGTCTAAAAATTCTACCTATAGACTCATTCTGGCCATAGTTGGTATGATAATAGAAGGATGCTTTGAAGATTTCTGTATTTCTTGTTCTCTTTGGATTCGCATTTAAAGTTATAAGTNTTTTCATTATCTTTCGGTGTTGTATAGTTATTTGGTTCATAGAGAAACGACAAAGAAATTTTAGTTTGGACTATTTTTTTTTTCGGTGCCGAGAATCTTCAGGAACCATATGTGAATAATAAAATAAAAGTGCGGCCTATGAAATAACCATTAAGTTAAAAATGATCAACTGATAATAGAATAAATTAATTTTGGTGGGTGTTCATGCACAAAATTTTTCTACTGCCCAGTCTGCCTTTTGCCAAGTAATATGACTAATTTGAAAACTTCCCACCCTTGATATCTTCCTTTCAGTAAACAATATGAGGAATCGAAAAAATAGGTAAATTTTATTGTCATAGGAAACACTTTCAAGGACTACATGTAGCTCTCGTGGTTCAACCCCATAGCAGGAGTAGATGTTACCCTTAAAATTTTAAATGGAAAGGGCACATCATTTTGATTGGCGTTCAATTCTGCTTCCAATGGTACCCCGACTTATTATTTTTTGATGAGCATTTTCCGAAAAATTGCGTTCTAAACTCACACATGTAATTAGAATTTGTCTGTTCTGAGATGCTTTATTATATTAATTCCTTTTAATAAAAATGGTTGGAAGAGTAGGTGGCACCGTTCCAACCCTTGAATTATGTGTGAAAATTTTTATTTGTTAGTTATTGTCCTTTTACAAAATAAAATTTAATTTGCGAGAAAGACATTTCAAACATGAAATCTACTTACGCTTATCTTACAAACTGTTCAAAATGTCATCCATTTCGCTCTAAACAGTAATGAAGTATGTTTTCGAACTCCCTTCTAACATTACGGAAAACTTTACTAGGCATGACTGGCATGCTGCTGCAATTCATCTTTTAAGTTCTTCAATATCAGAAGGTTGTGATTTATAAACAACAGATTTGATATGCCCCCAAAGAAAGAAATCTAAAGATGTTAAATCCGGCGATCACGGAGGCCATTCAACTGCTCCCTTTCTGCAAATCCATCTATCCGGAAATCTCTGTCGGACGGAAAGAAAATAATGAGGTGAACTTGATTCTTCTATCATAATCATCCTCGTGGAGCTCTTGAAGAATCTACATTTTATAAGGATGACATTTATGCATTTTCAATGTTTTTCTTACAGTCTCGCGTGACATTCCTGTTTGTTCTGATACTGATCTTAAGGTGCTCGTGGGCTCTGCAGCAAATGTTTCCAAAACTTCAATTTGAGCCGCTTCATTTAGTACTCTGGGGTTATTTTTTTTTTCCTTATTCACCAAATCAAGCACATATCGGTGACTTATATTACAATTTGGATGTCTTTCTACACTTTTATATACTTATTAGCCTGTGTAAAAGGATTGTGTAATCCTTTGTTCGTTCTTACCATGCTCAGGTGTAAGTCATTTCTACCCCTTGTATTATACTCATAAAACTGGTTGTTGACTAGTAGATCGTTGTTGCTTTTGATTCTTTTGTTTTTTATTTTATAAATGTTCTTGCATTGCTCAAGTTTAAGTAGATATTTAATTGAGACAGCTCCAACAAAAACTTAACCAATGCGTGCGCCTGATGAACAATACGTATAAATACATATACAGGTCACACTCTTTACTCATATCAACATGTTTGGAGAAATGTATTGTTTGATTTATGATACCATTTGCTCATTTGTAGGCGTTTGTTGAATTCGATTTCATTTAGGACTATCACATTTTTTATAATCTGAAAGTTATATACCCAAAAAATTAATTATAAAACTTTTACAGGATTGGCTAAGATGTCTTTCCTAGCAAAACTTGTATGTGCAATTCCTTCCCATTGGGCACTCCTGTATGATTCTGATGAGATGGGACTGGGTGCCAACAGATTTTTGCATCACGTTCTTAACTATAGAGGCCCAACATTGATTCTTCTGAGGGTCCAAGATGGCCAAAAGTTTTGCATAGCTTCTCCCAACGAGTGGAAGGAATCCCATCATTATTGGGGAGGCGAGGAGTGCGGTGTGTTTCAGTTACTACCAAAGTGAGATATTCTTAGCCGTAACCAAGCAATGATGAGATCACTTGTCAATTGTTCTAGATTTCAAGTATTAGAGAGAGGTTCAAAAATGATCTACTTAAATTTGAGTGTGAGAGGTTATCCTCATGGCCTTAGAGCAGGAAAAGATCCCAGAGCACCTATCTTGAGCATCGACGCAGGGTTTGAGAAGGTTAGTTAAGTTAGAGGAATCTAAACTTAAAACTTACAGTGCAATACAGATTGTATGTATTTTGTGTTTTGATAGGTTGAGTGGCAAAAAATCCCGTACTATTTAGAATGTATTGAGGTGTGGGGATGTGGAGATCAGGTGAGTCGAGAAAGACAGTTGGAGGTGAAAAAATGGGAAGTTAAAGAAGCTGAAAGACAACGTACAGTGAAGCTGAGCGCTGCTGACTGGCTGGACCACCCCGACCGTTATTTGCTGGAACTTGCTGGACGGCCTCAATACCACCAAAATTGAACTCATAAAGAAAGAAAGTAAGAGTCAAATGTTTAGGAACAAATTTTTTGCACAAGGTTACTAGCTGTTATATATGCAGTTAGCTCCTGTGATATATATTTATATTGAAGGGTCTATTTTCAATTGTGGAAGTACTTAGATAGTTTCATAAATAACCAATATAGTTTACCAAGAATTAATACTTCATGTAAGTTTTCACTATATCGATTTTTATGATTATTTGATGCAGTTGGTATAATAAGACTGTAATATGGGGAAAGTTGCTCCAGTAGAAAGTAATGTATATTTATTGTTATATTCCATTTGTGGAATGTTGAATAGTAAAATTGGCTGGCTAAAATATCAACTATTAGAGAATTATTGAACACGTTATTACTATAAATGGCTGCTATAGTTGAACATCTGTAATTGATCACTGCACTTCAGTTTATAAGATACCTATCCTTCTTGAATTTGTAATATTACATAGATACGATGGAATATATTTTGAATACAATTAATATATTCAACATGAGAGTACATTTTGATTGGTTGATATTTTATTCAGGCATTGCTAACAATACGTACTTCATTCAGCTACTTAAAGAAGTGAGACTATCTTATACAGGGTGATGGCAGATATAATTCAAAACAGAATTTCCCCTATTTAAAGTTACTATGGTAACAAATAATACTTTAGTTGGCTGTATATTGTAACTGCATTATTTATACTTTTCAAATATGTTAAATGAAAAGCTTGCAGGTTACAGTGTTTGCATTAAGATTGTAATGTAGGTTTCAGTATTTCAACTTATAAAAAGTATATAAAAATAATATGCTTTTTCTCAACTTTATCGCCGAGATTCTTGGAATGATGAAGAGATGTATATTTGCCATGATGTTGTGCCTTTGTACTTTTAAAATGCTCAAGAACTTATTGAAATGTTAATAGTATAGCATTATTAATTTTTCTGTGTTGCATAAACAAAATTGAAAATTATTTCGTGAATTGGAGTATATTGTGAATATTTCTTCAGAACCCAAATATTTTTACAGAGTATATTAAACATATGTTGAATCTATTCAAAATTACCGAAGGTAGAAATATCTACAGAAATGAAGTTATATACTACTGACAGGAACACGCTTCTTCTTGCGCGAATAAGTGACAAAAGGCGGCAGTCATACTTGTTTAGTTCCAAAAACTGCACATATTTCTTCGATTTTAGATTGTAAAATGTTCAATAATGAAATCATATATATTCAGACTATTTATTCCTTAGTAATTGATAGAGGCATATTCTGCTGTGATGAAAAATAATGCACTGCTGATCAGGAAGATATAGGGATTGTAGTTTCAGATGGTAATTATTTCTTGAAATAGTATAGTTATTTTTATTTGGTCTCAGAAAGTTCTTCTACCATCGGTAGAACAAAAAGTTGGAATTCTTTTTCATTTTAATCATTCAAGTCGCTAATATTTTCATTGAAATGATCAGGACAATGTGGAAAATCTACAAAGTGAAAAATAACTTTAAAATCTGTAAGATAAACATATGCTGATATTCTTACCTGTGGAATGAAATATGAACTTTTTTTTCATTTTCCAAATATTTTGACAATCGAATAAAACAATTCTTAGTTCTTGTTAACAATTCCAACAAAACAGAAACTTCTCCCGTCACTGCTGCAACCAGGCAATGTGAATAAAAACTGTGATAAAACGAACAAATAACCATAATTAATGACAACATTGGTGTATATGAACAGAATTCCATACAATGAATCAATATAGCCACTCTATACTACTGTTTTCGACACACACATATTAAACTAATGGAATATATCAAGATGTATGAACTGAATAAGCTAGCCACTAGCTCCAGCGGAACGTCAGGAAGAAACTCCAAAAAATCTATGGCCTTCAAACCTGAATGAAAATAGTGACACTTAAAACCTCACCCGCGAAAGCCTTAACCATTTTGTGGAGTACATCAATGCTCAACTTCGGAGATACTCGTTAACCCAACACATTTCATCATTTGATTTGGATGTGCAGTAAATACCCCTAGGCACGTTCTAGGTGTATGTGATGTATAATTTCATTTCTATGGAAATTAATATGTACTTTATCTCATTTTTCATTTTTTTTTACTTCATCAAGATAGCATAATCCTATTGGAATCCCAGACAAAAAATATCTTAATTGTTGTCAGTAGTGCCTCTGCTATTTGATCAACGTTTACCTCCTAACGAAAATATTTCAGAAAATTTCCTTGAAATTTTTATTTTTCGGTAAATATTCTCCAACATAAAAATAATGAACTCTGATTATAGCGAAAAGTGAAATTTTTGCATATGTAATTTAATGAAGGGTTATCCATAAATCATATAACTAGGTTTGTTCCTTTTTTAACATTTGTCCTCTTTGTTATTTAATGAATACTGGACGTCACACACATCTTTTGAAATTAAGTATGATTGTCGTAATCATTCAAGAATTTCTAATATATATATTCGTGGATATATACTTTATGGGAAGCCCTTTGATTAAAATTATTTTGACTTGTGATTTTTTCCATTAAATTATTTTGACGAAATTAATTTTGCCTATATACCAGAACTGTGAAAAATCTATTATCAATGATATATTTATCAATTATCGTCAGGAAACGAGATTAAACATCACCTGATGTGTCAGATTCAAGTTCTGTTTTACCTTCATGACATAAAGAGTCTATGACATATTTCTAATTTGGGCATTACTAACAATGTTTCAAATTTTCTAAAAACTAGAACTTTTTTTAAGGTGAAAATATTTATCATATGTGTTCCAGACTTTTTCACTTTGTTCATTCTTTTGTGACTATGATCTTTAGTTGAAATGGTAGAAGAGTTAAAGGGTTGGACAGTGAATAAATATATTTTGAGACTAGAAGATATAATGCTTGGGTTTGGTTAAAAACTCACCACGGTTGTAACAATATTCGTTTTATGAACTGTTAGAGAACACAACACTTTGAATATGAGAAATAAAGTTCTAGATTAAATTTAAAATTATTCAATAAAATCAAACTGGTTTTCAAAACAGAATTGTACTGTATTGGAAACTTTGTTAGTATGTCTTGATAATATATTGGAAACAAGACTCAGTTGAAAATATGTATAAAGAGTGATAACTTGATTTCCTGATTGAAACAATATCTTGATTTGATTTTCGAATTTTGAAATATCTGTTTGAATTTGAGAAATAATAAAAAACATTTTTAAATATAGAAGGCACCTTAAATAGTTGCTTCTATTACTTCAGATAAACATATTCAAAAATTGAAACTAGTTTTATTTAGTAATTCTTTGATTATATTTTTTTGTTTAAAAAACATATTTTTGTAATGTCAAATATATTTATATTCGCTATACAATCTTTGACTTTTTGTTTGTCATTGATCCCATTTCCACTAATGCTATACTTCCCACACAATAGAATTGGTGGCACCTCATCAATGATGCTATGCAGTGGCACCAAGCCACAGATTCAAATGCATGGGATGGCTTATATTGAATTTTGAATTTCATTGGTATGCTGTTGGCAACAGATCCGATGATACCTTTAATATTTGGTTATTGATCAATTCAAATCTTAGGTTATATTTTCAAATATTCAATAATTTTTTGCCAATCTGGTTACTCTAAAATTCAATTGCGCCCTTGATGATGTGCATCAGATTTCATTTTGTATAAACTATGTTTTATGTCACATGTAATGAGGAAATAAATATACCACCATATTTTACATTTATTTCTACTTTTGAACTTGGCATAGTAATTACATCAAAATACGTCATATTTTATAGTTTGGCACCTCAATTCACAGTTCTAAATATTAAAATAATAATAATAATAACATAAACAGGGCATTACCAAGATATGTAAATTTTTACTTTTTTTTATTGGTATGTTTACTTGATTACTACTAATATTTTGGTAACCCCGGTTACATGAATATTCATTTAATTGTTCACTTAGAATTAAGTTACCCAAAAAAGTTTTCCGTTTTGTACAGGAGTTGGAGATAGATCTGATTTTAGGTCACTTTTTGTTTTCCTTCATAAAAAAAATCAACAAATTCAAAGTACCTACGGAGATTCGAAGGTTAGATTTACTAAAACTAATCTACGTTACGTTTATAATGCCTCTGTTTACTTTGGTTGTCTTAGGTAGAGTTGAGGCTACACAAAACCAATGAGTGATTTTTTTCAGTAGTTTTATCACTAGACATTTAAAGAATGATGAATCTGAGAAATATTAAATTATGTTTGTGTAAAAAGGAAGATATCAATTGAAATAAATTTACAAATGTGATATAAAAGACAAACATTTCTATATATCCAATCATTTCTAAATATACCATATTTTATCCTCATTTTGGACTCTATATGATAATCTGAAAATTTCAGTTTGTTAAATATATGCATATAAAGATAAAACATCTACAAATTGTTTAAAATCAGATTTCAATAAAAATAGTGTATTATTACCAAGTCTCGACTCTCTCAACCCAACTTTTAATATGTGATCTTAAAAGCCCGAGACTTTGCAAATTCATTATATTTCGAATCTCATGAAAATTGTTTTAATAATACCTCCACTTATTTAATTTTTTGCTTAGTACTATGCTCCAGTCATAGAACAGAAAAAGTATGTTGATTTTTTATCCATATGTGAGACAATGGAATTGTCAAAATATTTTCCAATTCAAAAAAGGGAAGCTAGCTGAAAGGTATTTAAAGGTACACATTCTGTTCTTTGGTGACTACTTAGGAGAAGGGTTACGATGCTGTTATGTCAATGTATGGATTCATTTCAATGTTACAGGGTTTTGAATATTGCCCCAGCTACATTAGTACATATATGATCCAACTTAATAATTGACAGTAACTGGGACTGGTTCTACATCGATTTTAATTTTCAAAAACATGTTAACTTTCCATTAATATGTCTGTATTTAATTCATAACATGTATTCACAATTCTCTTTATTTTTTTTTGTAATTACCCTATTTTGACAATTTGTTCATAGAATGTTCCCATTTTTCAGTCGCTTTTTCCAATAGTGGAGAGCAATCTCAAAATTTTGAAAACCATCTGAAAACACATTCAAACCTACTAAAAATAAAGTGTGTACCAAAACTATACACCTGAACCAACCAACAACAAAGAATAAGTATAGGCTGACGTAAGGTAGAATTGTCCAAAAAATGAAAGCAATGTATAGTTCCCACTGTTTGTTGGTTTTCAGAATCTTTCCGTGGAGAAAATGACCAGTGGCTCTGTACTCTTTAAGTGTTTTTTCTTTATCTGACCACTTCTTCTCTAAAAATTCCCTTAAACCATCTTCTGAGGTAGGAAGAATAGTCTTGGGATACCTGTAAAAAAAATAATTTTTGGCTTAGGATCCAACTAGAATTAGTATTTCAATGTAATTTTTTCATTGTTTTCCCTGAATAAAATATGATACAAAAAAATTAATAAGATCTCAAAATATCAGTCTCTCTCAACTATCTACACCGTAGGTTTTGGTAAATGCCTACCGGAAAATAAAACTACTTTCCTGCTAATACTATGCTGAGTATTGAATTATATCCGACAGACATTTATGGAAGTTACCTCATAGAGGTTAGTCTCACAGATTTTTCGCGTTCATCCAGCAGCAGGTCCATGCTGAAATCATTCGAGTAGATCACCTACAGATCGGTTTTGAGGTATAACCTCTCATCAGTGTAGGAAATATCCGACCTAAACTGTAGTGCCTGAGATTCGATTAGTTTCAACGCACCTCGACTGCATGTATGAATCCTTCGTATAAGAGAAAGATTGTTAACTATAGTAACAGCTCTATCTCGTGAACAAATATGATACAGAAAATAAATATTTTTATCAGCAAAAAATTGCTGCTAAGATTACTGTAATCTTAGCAGCAATTGTAGAACTTGTAATGATACAAGTTCTACAATTGCACAATTTTGTGTTTCAAAAGTTGGTTGTAGAAAAAGATGGTATGTATTTATAGAAGTGAGAAAAATAATTTCATTTCTTATTTCTAAGTATAGTATAATCAAATGGCATAAAAACTAAATAGTTACGGAACACGTCGGCAGTTTCTTTGTATGGCATGGGCGGCGTGGCATAGTTTTTTCATGATGTTTGAACTTCCATTGTCTCAATTTTCAGATGCACAATTATTAGGTCGTTTCGAAAGTGTTACTGTCAGTTTTAGTGTCATGTGCATTTGTAGCTCCATATCTCAATAAATATTCATACTACTGCGTCGTAGTATACACTTATTGATAGAGAATTTTGTGCTCTACAGGGTGTTTCAAATTCGATCCTCACCATTAGGATCTCAGAAACTATGAGATATACGAATATGGTTTAATTGGGGCAAAGTTGCGCATTTATCTGACTAACAATATGCCGTTGAGGAAGTTCTGAAACTCCGAGTATATCCGGAAAAACATAAATTTCGGAAAATGGTTTTTATTTTTTTCTGGCTTTATTTTTCGAAGGCTTCGAAAATAAATTGCATTTCCACTTTTTCCCTACTACATATTGGTGTTTTCAGATTTGCTATCCGGCGTTTCGTCTTCCGGCCACCATCATCAACTTTATTTTTTCTTATAGGCGCTACATTGGATTTTTTCTGTTTTGAATAGAACCAGACTTAACATTTTCAATGATGTATTATAAGTTATCATTCTTTTTCGAAAACTTGGAGATATTGAAAAAAAAATTGTTATCATAGTATGCTTTGACTTTGATGTTTCTAAATTTGACGTTCAATTTGTTATACTCAATGACATTTTGTTATTGTACGAGTCATTGAAGTTTTGGTGAAAAATGGCTTTCACGAATGAAGAAAAAAGAGATATGATACAAATTTATAACAAATTCGATAGAAACAGTGTTAGGACATCGGAAATGTATTTAAACTTGTATCTCGAAAGACGACAACCACGACAACCGTGTTAGGAATCACACGTTAAAAGGTAAGACCTCGTTAGTCCCTAGCTCGCACAAGTTTCTCAACTTCTGAGAGTTGTCGTTCGTATGGGAAATCAACATTCCTATGGAACAAGAAGAAATGATTTCGTGCTCCCTATACATAGGTTAACCATAACAGAAGAAACTCCTCATTACATATCAATGAAGCTGTACAATAAATTGCCTAATCGAATCAAAGATTTGAAGAGCATAAAGAAATCTAAGAAAGAAATAAAAAAATATTTAATAGATTTAGAACCATATAGTTAGTGTTTGTTAGTGACCATTTAGACTAAACCGAATTATAGAAATGTTGACATTATTTCATTATGTTGTCTGTGTACAAGCTGTAATAGTCGGCATATTTTTGAAATGAAGATTATTATTATTATCAATTCCTGAAAAACGTTTTAAAGGCCGACGGAATAAATGAAGTCAAATTCAATGAGGAAGTAAAATACAATTAGGAAGAAAAAGACACGAAGATGTTGATAAGTTATGTGGTGCTTTAAGAGAAGTGATGAAACCATAATACAGACCCAAACACCTTTCAAAGCGAAATCTGATATGTTGTTTTCAAAACATTCAATTGGGAGAAACTTTTCTACATCTGACTGGAAGCCAGACGATTGACCAACATTCATTCTCCAAAAGTATCTTTAGTGTGCAGCGCCTGATCTAGGGGGTGCAAACCGGGCAATTGCCCGGGGCGGCAAAATTGAGGGAGGCGCGGCGTCGGCGGCGAAAATTTGAAAGATGGTTAAACAAAAAAAACCACACCCTACGCAAAAGTTGTTGGAATATAATATATTACTATTGACATCACTGAAATTTCACATCATATTTTAGTAGATTACAAAAATAAAATGTGGTCACACTGAGTCCTTCAAGCTGTGCTGGATGCTGGATTTTAATAAATATCTTAAAACGAAACTTAATTTGTTTCATTAATATCGGCAGCGAAAAATTTGCCTTTTTATAGATTAAAATGACACCATTTATGGAATAACGCTTGGGTAAAAGGCGGCAAATATTATTTTGCCCGGAGCGGCGAAATAGCTGGATCGGGCGCTGTTAGTGTGTGTATCAAAGATGTTTCAGAGGGGAAGCGAAACTAGTCGTTAATAATCAGTCCTGAAAATCTAGAACAAGTTATAAAAACTCTAGAAGTGAGATTTGGCAAACCTAACCAAATTGTCGATACAATTCTGCAAGAACTGACTTTCAGTCTTTAACTTATCGTAGAAAACGACATCGACATCATAATGCTTAACCTGAATGTATCTAGTGCGAAACGTCTTATTGTTTAAAAATTTCAATCAAAACTTCCTACAATAGAAGAACAAGTTATAAAAACTCTAGAAGTGAGATTTGGCAAACCTAACCAAATTGTCGATACAATTCTGCAAGAACTGAAAGTCTTGCAGAATTGCATCGAATTGTCGTTTTTTACTTCATCGTAGAAAACGACATCGACATCCTAATGCTTAATCTAAATGTATCTAGAGCGAGACGTCTTATTGTTCAAAAATTTCAATCAAAACTTCCTACAATAGTCGCAAACCTGAGAAAACAATGGTCATATCTTCAAAATCAATAATATGTATTTATTATAATTCTAACGGGCACAAGAGCAATGGCTGTCAGGAAATGGAAATAGATGACATAGAAACTCGGTGGAAAATCGTGACAAACAAATTATGGTTTTCATGTCTTCGGAGCAATCATCAGACAACTAAATGTAGAATTGAAAATCATGTTGGTATCAATGGTTGTAAATCTAACAGTGAATAAATGTTACATGTTCGATAACTTGGTGAAGTTTTAATTAAAGTAAGGGCTCCATATAGAGCCAAAATAGTGAATAAGCCCTTCAGAGGGTGTCCAACGGAGATAAAACTTACCGATTGAATTAATGGACTTTACGACACCAGAATGTTTCATGGCGGCTATGAGTTTTATTGGGAGGGATAAAGATTTTGAAATTATAAAACCACAAGAATTTTTGTTCGTTGATGAAGTTTTATCTTAGGATGGAAAATTCGTGCCAAGATAGCAAATTAGAACGTATACTCTCCACTAAAGCTGAGAATTATTTTTAAATGATGAAGTCTTTCCTCACTGATCTCGGAGAACAATGAAATCACTATTCAATCCTATTATATTGTTTTGATGTCTAGTAATGTAATTGCTGAATTCTGAAGGAATGAAAAGAAAATCCTGCAAGTACATAAAGGAAAACGGCGGTGTAAAAAACTGAGGCGAAGAATTTATGAAACCGCTCCTGATATGCCTGATAGACCAGATATAAGATATAAGCTATATTAGTGGATTTTATCCTCATAAGATTGATGTGAAACTTCCTTTCTTCTTCATCCTTTGACAAATTTATAACCTAAATTTAAAAACCCCATAAAGAAAAGAAGATTTCCACAGATTAAAAAAGTTTAATTTATATAGGGCACAAAATAACCTGGTTTTTGTTCCAGAAGAAACTTGAAACCTCAACAAAAGGTAGAGAACGGAATAAATTGAAACATGTAGCAAGAATATCTTGCTGCAACTCTTCAGAATAGAAAAAGTTTAAATAACGTAAGAAACAAAACAATGCGGAATTTTTTCCAACAGAAACTTGCATTGATAATATTATTTGAACTCCAACTGGGAGTCGATGTTGTTATATTGTTTTTTTATTTTATAAATTTAATAACTATTTAATATTCTTTAATCCTTATTCAGCGTTCATTGGCTCCGCTCATCCTCTTCCAGACCCTAATGGTGTGCATGAGCGGTTACCTATCGGTTTCCAATAATGAAGATCATTTGACATGTTTTGGCAATTTGATATTGGGAAATTCATCCTGGATATATTTTTGTATGGTTGAGTAAATAGCCAACAAGTTTAATGTTGATCGGCCTAATAGTATGATGAACAAAAAATCCAATTTATTGTACTTTCAGTAATAAATTATTTGTTGCTTTAGTTAGAATGAAGAAGTTGTGTGTTGCTCATTCACAAACTTACCTCACGAAATGTACTTTGACTTCTTTTGGAAATTGACCTTTCAGTAAAAGTTTCTCAGTTTGTGGAACGGTATCAGGATACACCAAAGTCACGTCGTAGACTGCGTCCAAACTGTTTTTCAAAAGAAGCTGTTGTGTAAGGTAAACAAAACCAGTTGTTCTGGGATGGAGAACATGGTCGTATTTCTAAAAAAAAATTATTGAAGCATTTTCTAATTCATCATGATTTTTCATACCTGAATATTATTTCTTTCGGCAAACTTGTCGCTGCTTATCTTTGTTTCTCTGGTGAAGTCAGTTCCTTCCGGAAAAACTAATAAGCTATGTTTATAAGACAGATCAGATACATAGTCAATGTATTTCAACAGTATTTTTTTGTCCAGTATCCAACACCTTTTTATATATACGAAGCAAGCCAATTGCATCACCCAACCTAGAAAATCAAAATCTATTTTATCGAAAAAAAAGTACCAAGAAACATTTCTTTCTCATTACCAGACATACTGATGAAACAGAAAAGAAAAATCAATAAATATACGTTTTGTTTGAATGTGGATATTAGCTAAAAATGCTTTTTTTCACGGAATATAGTGTTGCAAATCATGCCCTAAAGAAAATAACGCCGGCCGTCACTGGTAGCCATAAACCAATTGTGACATAGCTAAGAGCGCGCGAATGTTCGCTGCCGCTCTAGATGCAGCTAGAATAATGCTACCGATTTCGAAGGAATTCCGGCGAAATTTTCTAGCGCATTCGATTACGATATATGAACGCTAGCCACGAGCGTATCGAGACAGTTAAGTGGATGTAACAGTGCGGTACGCGAAGCGATCTAATAAGGCGATAGACATTCGAATAATCGTTGAAGTTTTAGTTGAAGTGTTTATAGTATTTAAAGTGAAATAAAGTTAAGTTTAATTAATGTTCAGTGTAGTCAATTATTGGTCAACACACGGGGAATAACGTAACAATATTGTTGGACCCACTTTACCTTTACGGATTTGAAACTTCAAATAGATAACCGAAATGTTTAATTTAGGGAATAAAAAATGCAATGGAATTTAAGAAACAACTCGAAAAACATATACAGGCCGTTTTTAGCGGATCCCACTATATCTTAAAAACGGTAAGCCGAATACCTTGTCTTTAATGAAGCCCCACAATGGAAACTCCAGAAGTGTCATGTCAGGTAAACATGGTGGCCATTTAATAAGACCATTGTTTCCTATCCATCGTCCTATCATAGTCGAATTGAGAAAATAGCTGCAAATAGTTCAGCGATGTGGCGAAGCTGCATCATGTTGGAAATAATGATATTTTCTCAGAATATTCAAACAAGTCAACCAGAGTATCCGACAAGAATTTCAAATATAATTCCCCCTTCTCAGAAAAAGCTAGGGACCTATAATTTTGGTCTGGCACACCAAGAAAAACGTTAACTCCAAATCTCTCTTGGAAATTTGTAGCTCTATGTAGGAAGGAATGTTCCTGTCGCCAGTGATAATGGATATGGATATCTGGAAATCACAGGTTGGAGACTTCTTTTTTCTAAAGTTACTTTCACAAAAAAAGTTCGGCTGACAGGCCACTTGATTCCCTTGAGGGTGATTCATTCTTATTATGAAAAGGTTCAACTCATTTTACACGTCGTATTCACTTTATTAAAAAAACCACTCGTAGCCTGTTTTACCACATTGATAAAATCTATAAACTTGTCAATTGGTAACCAGTTGGTTAGTTCCACTCATAAAGTCACCCCATTTTGAATTGCACGCTCTAAGAGAGTGTCTCATGTGGGTTACTCAATCGTTTAACCATACTAGAAATCGCATATTGGAAAGTGAGACCTCGTTAATCATTTGTTCCCACGTTTTCAGAAGACTTCTGAGGTTTGTCGTCAGTAAGGGGACGATATCTGGTTAACGAGAAAACCCATGTTAGGCCATTTATAACGATTCACAGTTACTTGTGTATCTCGATAAAAAATATCCGGAATTCGACTATAACTCAGTGCGAGTTTATCTTTCTCTCATGTGCATCACTCTGTAAGTCCAGATAAGGAAGAGAATAATTGAATGAGTAAGATTGGTAAAATCTGATGTAATAGGAGCACTTCGTCAGTTGCCTCATCTTTTTTGATGATGTCCACCGTAGTCGTAGATGACATATCAGACATAAAAATCTGCAGACCACGGTCAAAAAACCCGAAAAATAGCTTTGACACAGTTACCTCGGGTCATGAAAGTTAACAATCTGTGAACTAAAATTGAATCTTAAAGGTGACTATGGAATTTTTCAATCATCAGGATCCAGTTTTTGTTCAATATTTAATTTCCATTAAAATAGTAGGTTAATGTTACACAAAAAAGTTTCACGATAAATATGAAAAATATGGTCTATTGCAAATGTTATTCATGAATCGATATATTCTGTAAAAGGCGGCTTCGAATCGCCGATTTTTTATTTTCCATTTTTACCCTGCTTGTCAAAAGTTGTTATTTGTACTGATGGAAGTTATTATTTTGTATAAAATGTTGACTGAAAGTATTTAAGTAACACTTCTTCAGTCGTGTTTATACTGAAAGTGAATTGGAGTGTAGTCGTCCGAAATTAAAGAATAAGCCAATAATTTGTCGCTAGAATATAACAGTTATTACTATGAAAAGTATTTGCAAAATTCACCTGGTCCTGGAATGTGCCTAATAACATCTTTCAAAACAAACTTCGTAGAGTGTGTTAGTTTTCCCTTTCCAATAATACAGTGGTAAACAGTTGGCCAAAAAAAATTCCAGTCAGTTCTAGTTCTATGATTCATTAACAAAACTGAAATTTCTCCTGTTTGAATTGGATCCCCGGTTACTTGAACATTGCATCCACACATCAACTCCAATAAAGCCTAAAAATGAGTAAAATTTTCAACAAAAAGTTAGTTCTCAATTCATATTGAAGCATAACATCGAGAAGATGATTACCTAATAACGTAAGAGTTCACTTCAATTTCTTATCTTATTTTTTGAAAGAAAGTGCATATAAATATAATGTCCTATCTTCCTACGTTTCTCAAAAAACAGTATTGACTAAATTTCAATAAACACTCGGTTTTTAACAGAGCTGTAGGGAAGATCAGGTATGGTTGTCTCACGGGTTGGTTGTCACAGCGGCCATATTGAAAAATTGAACGAACGAAAGAGTTTATCGAACAAAATCGAAGGATCGCAAGAGCAATATCTCCATCCTAACCCTAACGTCACTTCAGTTCACTCTCATACTGTGGGAGGAAGATATGTAAATTTGTTTTTTTTTTGGCGGCAAAATTTTTGTGCATTTGTGTCGAGTCACATAAGTAGGTATACTAGAATTATCTGTAGATATATATCGTTTCATGTATTTTTGATGTGACATCTGTGGTTCATGATAGCACTATCCGTTTTTATGAATGAATATTGATTCAGAGTTATTTCAGGGGGTTATATTTTGAAATGTATTTTGGGCTGGTTGTCTCTGTCTGACAGGGACTGGTAGTCACATGTGACTACCATCACGGTGTTTTCAATACCATCAACAAAAATTGGTTATCAAAGGTATAGGCAAATCTTCACCGACCAATAAAAGAAACAATTAGAAAGATACATACTTATGGCTTCAAGTATTCATTTCGGTTCGTCTCCCAACGATATTGGAAAAACAGCGTTACCTTTACCAGGTTACATTTGCCATACCAGGCTACAAGTTTACATTTACCATATTTGTGATTTCCGAGTTTCACTGAATTTTAGACTGACTAAACATACTTTCGCTAGGATGGCTATTTTTAGTTTACAACCATTGCGGCCTGATGGATATTTTTGGTATTTTCGTTACCAGAAGGAAGCTATGCATTTGGAGCAAATATGTTTTTTCCTAAAATGAGATACTTTTTTTCCCTTTCTGGAAATAATTAATTACGTATATTATTCCACTTTCATTGAAAATATTCATTTGAATGTTTTTTATACACCTCAACTACCTATGTGACTACTTACACCAGATACTATGACAACCATATGGATGATGTTGGAGACAATTATTAACAAGAAATGAAAATTAAAAATTAAAAGATTTCAAGCCAAGTTACTTCACGACGTTTTAATTGTTAGTATCCACAATCGTCTTCGAGTGATAACTGGACTTATTCATCGACAGCCATCTTCAGTTCAATCAGGTTGGAGCCTCTAGCTCCTTTACCCTTGCAGATAATTTTTGTCAGGACAAATAGGTTCATGCTCCGAGATCTGACTATTTATAGGTCGTTGGAGTGCTTTCACCTATCCCCTCTTCCCTTTCACCGCTTTATCAGTTTTAGCGGGAGTTGGTCGTATTCGGCTAAATTAGAGGTTTCCATATGTTGCATATCTCTACGCTAGCTTAGCTAAACGCATTGTTGGACAACATATATGCGGCTTCTTTGAATTTTCTCCTAAACCAGTGTTCCTCCTTGTGGATGATTTCAGCTTGAGTCCACTTGATGTTATGTTGATGAGTCCAAACATGCTCTGCTATTCCTGATTTGCTGGTTTCTCCTCGCTGTGTGTGTTTCTTATGCTCGGCGATGCGAACTTTCAATGACCTCTTAGTTTCACCGATGTATGATTTTCCTCACTCGCAGAGTATCCGGTAAATGCAATTCTTGGAATCGCAGTCCGCGTTTGGTGGCCTGGTTTTTGTGAGGCTGCCACGGATAGTGTTCCCAGATACGAAGCAGGTTCTGATATTATACTTGGACCCAATTCTCCTTATCCTTTTCCGACAATCCTCTGATGTAGGAAAGTACAAGTATACTGGTTGGGGCGGCTTCTTTTCCTCGTGACGCTCTTGCTGTCTTCTAGTTAAAGTTTGTTCCATCATCACTTTGGAGTAACCATTTCGCTAAAGGTCATTTTTGATGATGCTTAACTCCTTTTCGAGACCTTCCTTTGTATTACAGAGCACGAAAGCACGGTCTACTAGAGTCTTGATAATTCTTCTCTTAGTCGATTGATGGTGGTTGGATTCCTGGTTCAGATACTGTCCCGTATGAGTGGGTTTTCGGTATACAGATGTTTCCCATTTAGTATTGGTCCTCTTCACCAACACGTCTAAGAATGGCAATTCGTCGTGGACTTCCTTCTCCATTGTGAAAGTGATGGAAGGACATACGTTGTTGATGTGCTTCAAGAAGGCGTCTAGTTCTGCATTCCCATGGTTCCATATTATGAAGGTGTCAACCAGACTCGGGGTTTCTTGAGTGCTTCTTCAATAGAGAAAATGGTTGCCTTACTCGATCCAGGGACATTCTTATCCGTTCATCAAGTCTTAAAGAAAACACGAAAAAGGTCGAACAAAAAACAAAAGCCTTTCCGTCACGTCTATATGGCTTATGAAAAATCCATAAAGAGAATGTGCTACTTAGACCTATCGTAAATGCGATAGGTTCACCAACTTATGAGCTGGACAAATACTTGACAACCCTACTGCAGCCATTTATGAATCATTTATTGAGGACTCGGGACCCTTTATCGAAAAGAGTAGAGATAGAAAGTTAGGTCCTGGAGACATACTAGTGAGCTTCGACGTGGTCTCCTTACACACGATGGTTCCGATCCAAGACACGATACGGCTAATTAGCGAAGTATTACCAGCAAATATAACCGCTGTCTTTGTTCAGAAGCAATTGAAAC